TGCGGACCGTGGCCCTGCCTCGCCGCCGTGCCCGATCCCGACCCCAGGTGTAACCCGATGCTGCCCTCTCCCCCCGGTTCAGCCAGGCCCGGGCAGGAGGGGGGGATTCCTGCCTGGTTGCTGAGCTGCGCCCTTTCCAAGGGACCCGTGTGAACTGGCCGTTGGCCTGATGTCACCTGGCTGCCCACTAGAAAGGGCTTCCTCTCTGCTGTTGAGTCATCAGATAGTGTGGATGTTCCTGCTGCAGAGGGTCCCCCAAATGTCAGTGAGGGCAGGCAGGCTGAGCCTTCCCGGGGGTGGGGGAGGGGGGGGAGGGGGGACCTCTTGGTTTTTTTTTGGCTGGGTATGGTTTCTGCCCTTTGCTTATCTCAAGGGTAACTGCCTTCTGTGCCTTCCAGAGGTGGTTTGTGGAGCCCCATCCATCTACCTTGACTTTGCTCGTCAGAAGCTTGATGCAAAGATTGGAGTTGCAGCTCAGAACTGTTACAAGGTACCAAAGGGTGCTTTCACAGGAGAGATCAGGTGAGCCTACAGAGAGGAGTAAAGCTGGGTGCTTCTGGATTATTAATTCTCTCCAGAAGTGTGAATCGTGTCCCTTCTCCCCAGCCCAGCAATGATCAAAGATATTGGAGCCGCATGGGTGATCCTGGGCCACTCAGAGCGAAGGCATGTTTTTGGAGAGTCTGATGAGGTGAGTGACCCTGGAATGGAGAGATGGTCCAGCTCAGATGTGCCTGCGAAGGCTGGAGGGGTGAGCAGTTAAAATACAAATACAGGAGTAGGTCTGACTTATCAGTTGCCTTGCTTCTTTTCCATTCCCAGTTGATTGGGCAGAAGGTGGCTCATGCTCTAGCTGAGGGCCTTGGAGTCATTGCCTGCATTGGAGAGAAGCTGGACGAGAGAGAAGCTGGCATAACGGAGAAGGTGGTTTTTGAACAGACCAAGGCCATTGCTGGTAAGGGAAGAAAACAGGTGCTTTTTTGTGCTTTGGACACTTGAGAAATGGCCATCCTGGCCTTAACTGGAAGGCCATAACGGCCATCCTGACCTTCCTTGTAGGGCTTGCAGGTATGTTGCTGCAAGTTTTTTATTAATGTGATCACATTAATAAAAGGCCTGCATGTTCCAGAAAGTTTTCCAGCTCTACCTGTTCCATCATGGGGTATTGTGCTTACTTATACCTTTTCCTTCCTCCCCAGATAATGTGAAAGACTGGAGTAAAGTGGTTCTTGCCTATGAGCCAGTTTGGGCTATTGGAACTGGTAAAACTGCAACTCCCCAACAGGTATGAGCAGAGGAAAGGTGTCTGACTAAATGGCCAACTGACCCATCCCACTCAATCTTAAAGGTTGTCTCTAAAGACTCGGAGAATATCTAGAGAGTCTCCCTTCTGTTTGGAAGGGAATTGGATGCAGAATGGCTCAGGCCTCAGTGGGAATCCTGTTCTGTTGCAGGCTCAGGAAGTTCATGAGAAGCTGAGGGGGTGGCTGAAAAGCCATGTGTCTGATGCTGTTGCTCAATCAACTAGGATCATCTATGGAGGTAAATTACTCTGAAGCCCCTTTCCAGTGTAGAAAGCACTTAGTTTCTCTGCTTGTTGCTGCAGTTGTATAGCATGCTCAGCTGGTGAGGAAACTTGAGACTGACAGAGCTTGAAGAACCACCTGCTAGCTTGTTTGGGCAGTTTGGGGACAGTCTTACTGTCTGCATAGTAAGAGGTGGCTACTACATTGCAGGTTTTAGCTTTGCCTTGCCCCTGTTTTCTAGAGCTGGCCACATCTGATCTTAAAATACTGCTCCATCCGTAGGTTCAGTCACTGGCAGCAACTGTAAGGAGCTGGCCTCTCAGCATGATGTGGATGGCTTCCTTGTTGGTGGAGCTTCTCTCAAGCCAGAGTTCGTGGATATTATCAATGCTAAACACTGAAGCAGCCTGTAAGGAGCAGTCCCTTGGGGTTAAGAGCAAGAAACGGAAGCAAGAAGGGACCTTTTATTGCACGTTTCCTCTGAGGCTTTCCCCCTCCACCGTCATTGTTATAGCTGTGCTGCTAACCCCCACCACCATGTTGAAGTCCTGTTAGTGGGATCCTGTCTCGGCAGGGTCTTGACAGCTTCCTGTCTGAATTGACAAAATCTTCGGCTGCATGTTGATCTGTAAGAGCCCGCAGTCAGCCTGGCCAGTGCCTCCCCCTTTTTCTGTAGCACCGCAGGGAGAGAGGGCCACTGGTGCAAGAGAAAGGAAAAAGGAACTAAAGTCTCTTGCATCCTTAAACTCCATCAGCAAGGAGCCTGTCAGCTTAGACCCTTGTGAGATGTCTTACCTCACCTGTGTCCCATACTGAACAATAAATGAAAAAATGAAAAAGCAAAGGTGTGTCCTGGATCTTATTCAGAAGCAGCTGGGGACAAGCAGTGTACAGAATTTACTACTTCTGGATGTAGCTGGTTGCAGAGAGGGTACTGTGGGTTTTGTGGGCTTTTCTTTGAGGGCCCACCATTGCCCCAGCAGGCATTGCACAGGTTCAACCTCCATCTTGCTTTCACAGGTTTCACCTGCAGCATGCCCTGCTGCTGTCATGTTACAGCTCTTCGGGCCCATGGTGATTTGTGTGTCTCTATTCCAGTAGCTGCTGGAGCACCTGGCTGTCCCACTAGCGAGCTGATCTTTCCAGGCAGGCTTGGTAATGCACTGTTCCATACTCTGTGAGAACTGGTAATTGACTTTGCTGTTTATTAAATGTGGAGCAGAGCACTTCCCTCTTTATGCAGGGAAGATTTTTAGGCCATGTGCTAAGGCTGTGCTTGTTGCCTGCTTGCAGCCACATCCTGACAGGTGAGAAGGCAAGACTAGATGTTATTTCCCAACTGCTGCACCAGCTAGGAGATTTTTTTTAGGTAGTACTAAGGGTAATGAAAAAGGAGGTACCTCACAAAGAGGAGCTTAGCTGTGAGGCAGTGTTTCCTTGGGAGCCTATGGGCAGTGCTGTGGTATGGAACAGATATGCAAAGGGGCATTTGATCTGTTAGTGCACATCTGAGAGATCCTCTTCCATTTCATGTTTCTGGTGTGCAGTAGTTTTGGCAGCTGTGGCATGTTCCTCCCCTGATACTCCAGCTGTCTGTACTGTCTGGCCAGCATCACCTGAGGGGTGAAAGGCAGGAGGTGAGGGACCAAGAAGGGGAAAATATTGGGAAACCTGCTAATGTTGCAGGTCCTCCTAGTCTGCTAAAGCAGGTTCCTCCCTCCCAGCTGGAAGGGATGGGGAGAGAAGAGCCTCAGGGGCCATCTCCTTCCCACCTGGGAGCAGAAGTCCACGCCTAGCCCTGCTGCTTTCAGGGGCTGGGCCAGGCAGCTGCCAGTGTGGTTGGTGGTGCTGCACTCCCTGGGTGGCTATGGAGCCTTTGGCCAACACAGCCCTGGGTGGGTGGGGGGTAGTGTGAGTGGGCAGAGCTGGGCCAGCCTGCGCTAAAACAGGTCTGAAACTGGCCACGGGTCATGGTGGTGTAACCGCAGTGAGGAAGCACAGAGCGGTGGGCCCAGGCATAAAAGCCTGATGGCTGGGAAGCTCTGGTGATGGAGGAAAGCCCTTCAAACGGGGAAGGATGCAAGATGGCCTGAGAAGGAAGAGCCTGGCTGCAGCACAGAGAGGTATGTGCAGAGTGATGTGGGAAGGAGGATGCTTCAAAGGCAAAAAAAAAAATCCTGAAAACTCTGTGGTTTCTACAATCTGAGTAAGTGTATCTGAGAGGCTGCTGGGGCATGACTGTAGTTTGGTGCCTTGGGGCATTGGGCTCAGCATGACCAGAGCAGTGGTGATGCAGCAGGGACAGGAACTGTGCCTAAGGCTGCTGGGAGTGGGTAGGTAGGATCAGTCACGGGTTGCATCTCCACTGTTGGTTCCTGCTCCTGCTCAGCCCTGTCCACAGAGCTGGGCAAGAGCCCAGGAGGGTGACCTAGATAGAAAAAAAAAAAACAAAAACCACAACAACCCACAAATGGGAGCTGAGTGTTGATCTTGCTGCTTTGAGGAGAATAGAGAGGCATGAAGGCATTTGTTTAATGAGGAATAAACTCTTAGAAAATAATTTCTTTTTGATCTTGTTTTTCTTCTTTTTATCTGCTTTCGGGCAAGACCACAGCTCTGTGGAGTGGAAATACTCCCACGTCCTCACTGCAAATTGTAGTGGTTGGGTCTTAAACAGGTTACTGTTGGGAAAAATGCATTGTGCCAGGTGTGGCAGCCTGGGAGATGCTGCTGTGGCTCCGTATCCTCAGCCCCAACCAGTAGCCAGGCTGAGCTTGTATTCCCAGTAGGCACACAAACACACCTCTACCACATATAACATGTAGATGTTGTATATACCCAGATGTCTGCACAAATAGCATGGCCAGCCACACAGAGCACTCACATGAACACAAGCACCAGCAGCAGGGCGGAGGTGTGCCAGTGAGCATGCGTATATGTGTAGTTTTATATACACATACAAACACATATGTACAGTGTGACTCCCTCCAGCAGCCAGGCTCAGGCAGTCTGCTCAGTAGCTGCCCACTGATCCCCCAGCAGCCAGGTCCCCTGTGGTGCTCTGGCCGACAGGGACCCTCAGCCTCTTCAGCAGCTGGCAGGATTACCCCATCCCTCTGGCAGCTGGCTCCTCCCTTGCAGGATGCTCCAGCTGCATCCTTGCTGCTGCTCAAACACTCACTTACATACCTGGACACATGGGCCCCAAGTTTCAGCCCGACTGATGGCACCTAGATTCCCCCCATACTCCCTGCATGTGGTAATGAGAGTCCCTTGCCCAGGGCAAAGTGAGAAAGGAGTTCAATGAGAAGATGGGACAGGCTGCACTGATTAGGCATGGCCAGATAAACCATCACAAACCATTTACACACAACCATCCCTTTTCACTGCCATATCCTTCTGTTTTCCCACACTTCTCACTCCACAAATTCCCCTAAACCCCTCCTTTTCCCACCTCTGGTTCCTCCCTTAAACACCCCCTAATAAGTCCTGTGCAATCCCCAAATGCTCTTCCCCAGCATCCCAGCGTGTGTCACACACCCCTGAATGCAGATGACCCCCCCCAGCCTTGAAGGTGCTGTGGGGCTGAGGCTGCCTTGGGCCAGCCCTGGAAGGGGCCTGCACAGGGAGCACCCAGTTTGGGTTTCCACCTGCCATCGTGCCCCTGTGTTCCTCTGGGTGTGTGGAGAGGGGCATTTGCTGGGCTGATGGCTCCTGGGATGGGCCTGGGAGCAGCCTGGCCGGGAGCTATTTGGGCTCCCCCTCCTGCCATCATCTCCCTGTGCTCCTCTGGGGATGTGCAGACGAGCTTTTAGCACATAACTTCCTTAATGATCAGTATAGTTAGGTTTGGGATCTTTTATATGTAACCTAAATAAAATTATTTATTTATATGTAACCTAAATAAAAATTCTCTCTTTTAAAGATTTGGGTTGCCTTATATAATTTCTCTTGTTTCTTGTAAATTGTTTGGCCATCTAGAAACAAGACAATTCAGCCACATATTCTTCTTGTACAACCGTGTAAGACATGTGCATAGAGGCATACATGACTTCTACCAGTTCATTCTTCAGCATAAAGGGATGAGGGACCAGAAGAAAAGCATGTCATCACTTTTATTCCAGCACTGACTTGCTGAAGGGCTCCTTAAGGCGTTGGAAAGCAAAGGCAAGAGGAGCTGGTGCTTTATGTATAGAGGGTTTTTTTGGTTGGGTTTTTTGGTTTGTTTTTTTTTTTTTTTTTTTTTTCAGGGGATATAGTGGAAAACCACATCTCTTCCAGGTAAATGACCAGGGAGTGAATTCAGATGGGGCAAGTGTAGCACAGAAAAACAGGTCAGAGCCTGGGAGTCAAGTGGGCCGAGGCAGCAGGCATGGGGGCAGCTTGCCATGCACCAAGCACAGAGGGGTGCCTTGTGGGAGGGGTGACAGCTGCAAGAGCATGACTCGTGTCTCAGTTGTGTGTCCAGCTCGGCTTGGATCAGCTTATCTAACAGTGACATTGCCTGGGAGCTGCAAAGGAACAAAGTGCATCAGAGGGAAAGGGAGCAGGGCCTTGGACTTTGGTACTAATCACAAAACAGTGGTGGCCATCAGCTGTGAGCAGCATTCCCATCCAGTAAACACCCTGCTCTGCTCAGCAGCTGATGGGAGCACAGCCACCCACCTGCGCACAGGTGCCAAAGCCAGGCAGGCACTAGTGGCATCTGCTGGGCATCCGCAGCCTCAGCCCTTCCTGGCTCCCCAGCCTGGAGGAGAAGGCTGAAGCAGCATCACCTGTAGCAGGGCAGGACACCGTACCCCAAAAGCCACTTCCTGGCATCCAGGAGATTGTGTCATGGGAGGTCTCACACCAAGCCTGAGCCTAATTCTGCTCAACATATTAATTAAACTTTTACCAGAGGGAATGTCTTTCCTCAGAGATGCTCACCACCTGAGCAACCTGTGCAGCCTGGCCTGACTTCAAAGCTGGCCCTGTTTCAAGCTGAGTGGGAGGGTGGGCAGTGCAGCCTCCAGTGCTCCCCTCCCACTGAAATGATCCTTCAGTTCTCTGGATATGTTCCTGAGAATTGCAGATGCCACTCAGCTAGGAAGGGCCGGGAGTACTTGGGAAGGTAGAGTAAGATTGCAAAGTGCTTTTGATGAATGCAAGACACGTTCTGAGATTTCCAACGGGAAATTTAATTCCACAAAGGACAGGCCGTTGCAGTCGGAGCAGCAAACTAACACGAGCAGTCAGCTGGGAGGACTACTGCCTGCGGGATGATGAAAAAAGAAACCACAGGGAGCTGGGATGGCGATGGATGGCGGATCAGCAGCACCCGCCCTGCTGCAAGAAACCGAGCATGGCCTGCGGGAGGCACTACCCAGAACGCTGCCTGTGAAACACAGGAAGTTTGGTTTTGTTTGGGGGTTTTTTGAGGGTGTGGTGGGGAGGTTTGCTCCGAGCCGACAAGATTTTGGATTTCACATTTGCCCCGAGGCAGAAAGGTCCGGATTACAGGGGGCACGTACACGGCTGGTGAGCCGAGGCCCGTCCCCGGCAGTGCCCACACCG